GGGGAGTGCAATAATATTATTGTGGTGGACTTTAATATTATTAATATATTAATTGTGAGGTTGTTCCACAGTATTAATATATTAGAAGCCCTTATCCTATTCCCCTTAGGGTCCCTACTGTAGCTCTATGTATACAGCATTAGGCTCATGGAAGAAAAGAACAATCCCACAACCATGGAATTGCGTCTGCCCCTCTCTCTCTCTCTCTTCCAAGGAGTAGTTCTATTTCTTGTGCTCCACTGATACAAGATCTAGATAGCTGTTTGAGAATACAGTAGAAGATCTTAAGGTATATACGGGATTCCAATCAGATCTATCATACATCCAAACCGAAGACCAAAACCAGCAAGTAACCATACCACAACGACTAGGACGAAGAGACGAAGAGATCGCCATCGAGATCGCCGCCAGCCGCCGCCACACGCGCCGCCACGCGCCGCCAGAAGGGAGCAGCTGCCTGAGCTTACTCGCGCGCATGAGAGCGCGTAAACCGTCTGATTTCCAATCTGTTAACGCCGTTGACTTTGCCGTGACGCCAGGTTTCTGGATTAGTCAAGTTTGTTCGATTCCGAGAAGATTTGATTTGCGGTCAACTGTTCGGGCCAGCCAGATCTACATAAATTTTAAGCAGTAAGTTTTCTTCATTAGACCTTTAGATCCGCTGCGCATAGGTTTATGTTGAATGTTTGTCCGTGATTTGTGCATATCGAGATCCTCATATGTCCCAACAATTGGTATCAGAGATTGAGGTTAATCCGTTCTGTACAAGATCCGGATTAAATTACTTATATTGTCTATGTGTGCACAAGCGCAGCCAGATATATTGGATTATGCATAACTTGGTTTTGCAGGAAGTAGTTAATCCACTATTATGGCCACCCTTTTATGTGCTTGTGCTTAATTGATGGTTGGTTGTATGGTTTTAAATTTGTTTTTAAAGCCTCGGGATTGTCGAGGAATTATGGATGAATGCTTGTATTAATTGCCCGGTGTTGACCGGATAGTTTAATTAATTAGTAGAAGGCATGCACATCCACTCGTTGGATCTAGGAATCGATTTATGTAATTTTGTAAATTATATATTTAGAATTGTGATCGACCGTTGGAGACCGGGCCTTCACAAAGATCCAAAGAGACTCGACAAAGCAAGGAAGAAACTGGAGCCGGGATCCAAGGCTGGCCGGTGCGGCCGCGGCTTCTACTAGTGGAGGTTTTGTGGAACTTGCAGTACAAGTCAACCGG